TGAGTGTATCCTGACCGTGCGGGACCTGGACTGAGTCTATCCTGACCATGCGGGCCCTGGACTGAGTGTATCCTGACCGTGTGGGACCTGGACTGAGTGTATCTGTGCCATCCTAGACTGTGTAACATTGATCATGTTGGAACTGGCAGGAGGTGAGAGACTGCGTGGGCTACTCTGGAGGTTTACATTCACTGTGGGATAGTTACTAATCCCTGATTTGGCTCCTTGCAGATAATTTCTCAGGATGAAGCAGATCGTCGTGGGAAAGTCTATGATAAATACATGTCCAGTTTCCTCTTCAATCTAAACAATGGTCAGTGGTGACTGCAGATTGCTGGTAATCTGTTCTGCGTGTTGTGTATTTGAGGTGATCCTGGGGACAGAGAATGGTATCAGGGACTGGAAAGTCGGGATACACACAGCAAGATTGTGCTGCCATGGAGTGAATTTTCCGATTCTCCACCTCTGGAATCGTGTTGGACACTTGGATCCAACATGTGACTGCAGCATGAGCTCAGCTGTGAGTCCAGTGACCAGGAGGTGCTTCCCTTCACACATCAAATCATCTTTAGGGATTATCTCATGACCGATGTTATTGTGGCCTTTACTCCAGCCCAGAAAACCTCCAATTCCCTCATCCATTAAAAATCCCACCCCACCTTGAATCTACTTAACTATCTATATTTAATATGAGGAAGTGGTGGTGCAGAGGCTAACGTCACCGAACCAGAAACTTAGCTTAAGGTTCTGGGGTTTGAATCCCGCCAGGGTAACCAAAAGCTGGAATTTAAATAAAAACTAGTCCAATCATAATCATGTAAACACTGTCAATAGTGGTGAAATGCTCATGTGAGTTACTAATGACCTACAGTGAAGGAAATCTGCTGTCTTTACCTCGTCTGCATTATTTGTCACTTTAGACTCACAACAATGTGGTTGACTCTTAACTGCCGTATGAACTGGCCAAGACAGCTGATCAGTTGAAGGGCAATTAAGAATGGGCAACAAATGCCAAGCTTAAGAATGGGCAACAAATGCCAGCCTTGCCAGCAATTCCCACATTCCGTATTGGAGCAAAGAAAGGGAAAATAACCTAGTCTCCATTGCTGTGTAAGGAAGAGAATTCAAAGATTAGCTCCTGAGAGAACAAATTCCAAAGTGGGTGTCATTACTGGATTCGAAACATTAACTCTGTTCGTGTCTCCACAGACACTGCCAGACCTGCTGAGCTTTTGTCTGAGATGAGGAAAACATTGTTTTTAAACAGTGTTCCCTAGTTATGGATTTTCCCATACAGGGAAAAACCCTTGTAGCATCTACCCTCAGGATCCTATGTTTCAGTGAGATAACCTCTCACACCTCTAACGTCTGAGACTGTCTGAAAGGTAGGGATAATGAAGGCTGGGTGCTGGGGATGTGACAGGCTCCTGCCTCATTAATGCTTTCATTACCCATTTTCTAGATTTTGTTGTTGATGCAACTCGCAAAGGAAACAAAATCCGTTTTGCAAATCACTCTGTCAATCCTAACTGCTACGCGAAAGGTAAGGATTCAGAAACCCCATGATGGTGGGGTGGGGGAGCCGGGATGTGGAAGAGTTTTGAGGGAGAGGGTAAATGGAGCGGGGCAGTTAGGGGTGGGTCAGGCGAGGATGGAGGGTATGGAGGGGAATCAAGTGTCATGAAGAGAGTGCCTATGGTGTGACAAGGAAAGTGGAAATTCACTCATTTCAAAAAGTGCCAAGGCTCTCTGAGCCTGAGACCTTGGACCTTGTGACCATTCATGACCTGTGACAAACTGAAAGGCTCCCTTTACCCACATAACCACCAGTCTGTGACCTTACAGACCTGGCACTGCCAACTCAAACCCCTGCCATCACACCTGTGATTCCCAACTCCTTGACCTCTGACCCATGAAGATGGACAATGCCTCCTGTACATTGGTAAACTCAATTTCTCTTCTTCCAGTTGTCATGGTGAATGGTGATCACCGAATTGGGATATTTGCAAAAAGAATGATCCACACCGGCGAGGAATTATTCTTCGATTACAGGTAAAAGGTCACATTAAATCTTCATAAACCGTTGAAGGAGAACAGCACAGTTGGACCACAGTCATTTCTTATTATTCTCCTCAGTCCCTGCAGATTTGTGTTACTCTGTATTCCTGTTTGCAGGCCATTTACAAAGATCAGGAAATGCTATGATTATAAAACTGGTCCCTGGGAAAACCCATTCTCTGCCTTCCTCCAGGTGGAAAACGTTCACCAAAGCTTTCCGTTTCCTGTGACTAATCTAACTTTACATCCCACTGCTACTGTGCTTTTATCCTGTGGGCTTCAACTTTGCCAGCAAGCCTGTGATCTGGCTTTTGGAAGCCCATGTACATCACATCAGCTTACACTACTGGATCTACAGGTAGTTCTCCTATAATGTGATAGTTGCTTTCTTGTGTGACCTCGCACTATAGAAAGTCGTGCTATAGAAAACCACCTTAGAAAATCGCGTTACAGGGAAGTGGTTATACCTATACAGCAGAAAGTTCATATTATCCAAACAGGATCCACTATTCATCAATTGTGTTATAACCAATTTGTGTTAATGAAACATGTGTTATAGCAGAACTACCTGTACTACTAGAATTAGATGTCCTCCCTTCCTTATAATTCTAGTGAGTATGGGCCTAAACTGCTCAATTAGTCTTCAGAAGATGGACCATTCATCTCTGGAATTAATCTAGTGAACCTTCTGTGAACTGCTTCCAATGCAATTACATCCCTCCCAAGTAAAGGGATCAAAACTGTATGCAGTATTCCAGAGGTGGTCTGACCAATGCCTTGTACAGTTGCAACAACAGTATTTTTGTGCTCTATTCCTTGACAAATATATGCCAAAATTCCATTTGCCTTCCTTATTACTTGCCGTACCTGCATACAGGAAGTTGAAGCATAGTTTGCAGGTGAGTTGAGCCAGGAGCTGTGTACAAAATGGAGATTCAGCCAGCAACAAAGGTCTGAGGCTTAATTACCAATTATTGATGACAAAAGTTTACTGGCTGGCAACAACTATATAATTGGCTGTCAGGTAGCCAACCACCTTGGGGCTGTGAACAAGACAGTGAGAAGTCTTTGATCTCTACAAGCTCAGGAGCTGTCTTTCTGTTCTCTGCAGTAAAAACTACTTTAAGCCAGAAGAAAAACAATTTATTTTAAATAATACGTCAGAGACCTTTATGAGTATGGTCCAGCCACCCTGTGCCTCCTGCAAACAAGTGAAAGTTTCCAGAGAAAGCCAATTGAGAAGCAGCATTCTGATCAGCACAAGAATCATCTCAGCAAATCCAATGAATAGGGGCGACTGAACTGCTTTCCCAGGCTTTCCCTTCACTGATAACACCTGTGGCTTTTTCTCCTGTTTGTATATGTTTGTATGTATGTGTGCCAGGGGGGTTTTATAAGTTGGTTACAGTTTTAACTTGTGGAGCTACATGCCAATGGTTCATTATTGCCTACCTGTTGGTATAGTCTATTTATTTGTATTAAATAGTAATTCCTGTTACATACAAAAGCCCAGTTTATGTTTCTGACAACCTGGACCTGAAACTTTGATTAATTAGGGAATTGTGCATGCTTCTGTAGAATCCATAATCTTTGTGATGACTCTGGGAATAACAGATCTTGATTTCTGGCTTGTTTCCCCCAGTGAGATATGACAATCTCCTTCTCCAATGGATTGGACTGTTACTAATATACAAAATTCACCTGAAGGCACAGCAGAAATTCTTCCTGCTTTCTGTCCTTTACACAATTATACCCCAGTTTATGGAATATACAATCAGTTCAATGTGGAAGCAGGCCATTCAGCCCTTTGAGTCCACACTGATCCTCTGAGCATCCCAGGCACACCCACTCCTGTGCTCTATCCCTGTAACCCTGCACTTCCCATGGCCAATCCCCCTAACCTGCACATCCCTGGATACTATGAGCAATTTAGCCCAGTCAATCCACCTAACCTGCACATCTTTGGACTGGGGGAGGAAACCAGAGCACCCAGCATTAACCCACGCAGACACAGGGAGAATGTGCAAATTCCACACAGCCCAAGGGTGGAATCAAACCCAGGTCCCCGATGCTGTGATTATAAAGTATTTTAGTCATAACTATGCCATAGCTTTTGTCCCTCTCTATAATTTCCTTGTAAATTTGGTTCCTCTCTATATTTACAGTGATGGTCTGGATAACACACCCTGCCACATTTTGGCACCCTCTATTGTGTCTTAAATCTAACCAAATAGATTCTGTCCTTCACTCCTAGAGGGCAGTGCCTCTTTCCAACACTGTAATCTCTCCTTAATCAATTTTGCCACTCCCTCCTCCTTTCCTTTCTTCCCTCTTTCCTGGTTGTAAGAGATTCAGGAAGGTTTATTCCCAGTGCTTTCCCTCTTTAAACTAGGTCTCCATAAACACAATGGTGTGTACAGTAAGATATGGCTGTCTGATCCTGCAGCTCACTAACTTCATTTACCCGACTTTGCATGTCAAACTGATGCTAATTTTGGCCGTTTTCTTTCCCTATTACATTTATCTCTCATTCCCTCTTCCTGTTGTAATTAGAGTACAGTTTCTGATTTATGCAAACTGAAAAATAAAAATAATTAAAAAGTCCAATCAGAAGGGTATCAGTGAGGTCCAATCTCATTCCAATACTAATGGGATCAGTTGAGAACAGGCATGTGCTACCCCCCTGATAAACTGCCTGTTGTGTTTCTGTTTCAGGTATAGTCAGGCTGATGCACTGAAGTACGTGGGAATTGAACGGAAGATGGAAATGCTGTGATCCCATTGTTACTTTCATGTTAAGTTTTGTTTGATTGTGAGTTAGACTGTGCAGCAACTCCACAACCACCTTTCCTGAACACCTGGTGTGATTTTGACCAACATGATTATGTCAGACACAGGAAAAAGCATATTTCACATTGCTCTGTGTTATCAGTGCACTTTGACCTGCTTTTGCTGCAGATAACCACACTTACCCTTCCCCTGGCTTCCCCTGCAGGACCCCTCCCTGTTACTGGGAGTTTACTCCCCGATCAAGCTGAACCGGGGACCAGAGCTTAATATCTGTGAAAAGCAACTCCATTGAACATTCAGAATCTGATCTTGTGGGAGAAACACCTCCCTCCCCAGGAACACAGTCCAGAGTTGACAGACAACTGAGAAATCAGGCATCTGTCACAACTTCTTACTCTGGACACATTGAGTTGGGTTCCTAATGTCAGGCTATATCTAGAAATTAGTTGGAACAGTGAGCAGTATAGTCAGCTCAGAGTGTGGAAGCCCTGTTCGTTGTGTTTAATGTTTCTGCCACAGAAACCAACAGCCAAATAATGTTGGGACAGAGAGAGAGAGAAAGTTAAGTTTAGAAAGGCGAAGGATGGTTCTATTACACTGAACTAACTTGCTGCAGCAGAAGCCACATTATAAGCTTAGCTTGTGAAAGATCCCACTGCCTAGGATTTGCAAACCCTACTTAGTTCTCATCTATGATGTCTGCATCTACTGTTACCAAGTGACACTCTTAGATCAGCAGTTAGTTAGTTGTCCTAATGTAACTGAGCTTGTGTGAAGCAGTCCGTTCTCTGCTGGAGCGATGGTTTTGACTGAGATGAAAGATTGATTCGATTTCAGGGAACTGACTTTGCAGTTTCTGATTTTTTTTGGCAACAGTTGGGTTCTTGAAGTGAAGCTTGAAGCAGAATCCTTTAAATTACACTTGAAATAAAAATGATAAAATTATTCTCTTGCTTGTGTGTCTAACTCTCACCACTGTTTAGTACAAGCCACATATATTCAAAATCACTTCAGCATTTTGGGCTTGTGCTACAACAAATTTTGTTTTAACTGGCGCCTTATGAATCAGCACTCTTGATAAGCTGGCAGAAATTATATATCTGAAATACCAAATGTTTACTGTATTATCATGATCTCTATAATGTCCGAGTAGTCAGTTGAGAGTGTGAGTGAGAAGGCTTTCTGCCAGTAAGTTATATTTAAGACAAAATCGCATTATTATTTAAATGATTTATGCTGTAAATAACAATAACAGTGACATGTATACCCCTTGAATTAGGTTTCTGTTACTTAGTGTCTTTTTACACTGATTATGTGGACCTCTTCATCGACTGGAATATCTGATCAACCAGCATGCTCCTGGTCCCATAGGGGTGAATAATAAAACATTTGCTGTACTAATCAAATTTTGGAGCTAAATTCTTGTTAGTGTGCAATACTGTTCAAGACAATTGCCTAGCATCCACCTGAGAGGGCACCCACAACCTCAGTTAAATGTCACGTGTGAAAAATTCAGACAATGCTGCAGGTGCTCAGTTCTAATGGATTCTTTGTGTCATGTTCACTATGATATGGGTTTAGAAATCAGGGAGAAGGTCTGTGATACAATAAAGAAAATTAACATAGGAGGTTCTGAGTGATCTAGCAGACTAAAAAGTGGATAAATCTCAAGGACCAGATGAAATGTATCCCAGGCGGTGGCTTGCGATAAGGGAGGGTATAGCAGGGCACTGGCAATAATGTTCAACTTCTGTCTGGCCACAGGAGAGGTACCAGAGGACTGGAGGACAGTTGATGTGGTAACATTCTTCAAGAAGGGAGCAAGCGATAAACCAGGAAACTACAGGTCATTCAGTCTGACCTCAGTGGTGGGGAAACTATCGAAAGCAATTCTGAGGGACAGGATTAATCTGCATTTAGAGAGGCAGGGATTAATCAAGAACAGCATGGGTTTTGTTAAGGGGAGCTCATGTCTGACCAACATGATTGAATTTTTTGAAGAGGTGACCAGGTGTACAGGAGAGAGCATTGCTTTTTATGTATTCTCCTTGGACTTCAGAAAGGCTTTTGATCAGGTCTGGCCTGGGAAACTGATAGCGAAGAAAAGAGCCCATGGCATCCAGGGAAGTTTGGCTAATGGGATCCACAATTGGCTGAGTTTCAGGAAGCAGAGGGTGATGACTGAGAGGTGTTTTTTCCAACTGGAAGTCTGTCTGGCTCAAAGTGGTTAGTGTTGGGGCCCTTGCTGTTTGTGGTTTATATAAATTAGACTTGAATGTAGGAGGGCTGGTCAGTAAGTTCATGGTTGATATGAAAATTGGTGGACTGGTAAATAGTGATTACAGAAGATTTGGGCTGGTCAGATGGGCTGATCAGCGGCAAATTGAATTCAGTCCAGATAAATGTGAGGTGACGCACTTGGGCTGCACAAACAAGGCAAGGGAATACATGATGAATGGTAGGACCCTGGGAAACAGAGGGACCTTGATGTGCATTTAAACCGGTTCCTTAAGGTATAAGGACAGCTGGATAAAGTGATTATGAAGGCATATAGTATATTTGTCTTTATTAGCTGAGGCATAGAGTTTAAGAGCAGGGAGGTGATGGTGGAACTGTATAAAACATAGGTTAGCCCACAGCTAGAGTACTGTATGCACTTCTGGAATCCACATTATAGGAGGGATGTGATAGCATTGGACAGTGTTCAGAGGAGATTTACCAGGACGTTGCCTGGGCTGGAGAGTTTCAGTTATGAGAAAAGATTGGACAGATTAGAGATGCTTTTTTTAAAGCAGAGAAGATTGAGAGGGGACATGACAGAAATGTATAAAATTATGAAGGACATACCTTCCCCCCTTAATGGAGGGGTCAGTGACAAGGGGCTATAGATTTAAGATAAGGGGCAGGAGGTTTAGAGGGGATGTGAGGAAAACCTTTTTTTGCCCAGAAAGTGGTGGGAATCTAGAACTCACTGCCTGTAAGGATGGGAGAGGCAGAAACCCTTATAACATTGATGCGTATTTAGATGTACACCTGAAATGCCAAGATAAAACACAGTTATGGGCCAAGTGTGAGAAAATGGGATTAGAACCATTAGGGGGTTGCTTTTGACCAGGTGGGCTGAAAGACCTTTTTCTGAGCTGTAGATCTCTAGGACTCAAGGCCTGGCAACAGAGCAGCGCTCCCTCAGTAAATGGATGAGTGACTGCAGAATGCCTTTGATACAGAGGGATTTTGTTGTCCTTGTATTTGAATCATAAAAACCAAGCAAGTAGATACAGCAAGCAACTAGAAAGGAAAATAGAATGCTGTTATTTCAAAGGAATGATTATAAAAAGGATTATTAAAGTTATGCTTCAAATGTATGGGACATCTAAAAATGCACAGGGCACAGTTTTACCAAATTCTTTCATGGTATGTGGGCATTCCTGTCTGGCCCAGCATTTATTGCCTGTCCCAGCTGCCCCTGAGAAGGTGGTGGTGAGATGCCTTCTAGAACAGCTGCAGTTCATGTGTTGTAGGTTCACCCACAATGCTACAGAGAGAGAATTCAGATTGTTCTTAAATAAGGAACAATATGTTTACTTTGGAAGAAGTTCAGAGAAGGTTCAGTCAGTTGATTCATGGGATGCAGGATTGTCTTGAGTGTAGAAGAATGAAAGATGAAAATTTTACCAACTGAACCACAAGGGGTGATTTGGGCAAAGATTCCTCTGTTTCATGAGTGGTGAAGGGAGTGAATATTGAAGGTTGTGGATGTGGTGCCAATCAAGTGGGCTGCTTTGTCCTGCAAGATGTTGATTGTTGAGCGTTGTTGGAGCTACACCCATCCAGGCAAATGGGGAGCATTCCAACACATTCCTCCTGACTCGTGCCTTGTAGATGATGGACAAACTTTGGGGAGTCAGGAGGTGAGTTACTTGTTGCAATATTCCTAGCCTCTGATGTGTCCTTGTGGCCACAGTATTTATGTGGCTAGTCCACTTCAGTTTCTGGTCAATAGTAACCCCCAGGATGCTGACTGGGGCATTGAGTGATGCTAACACCATTGAATGTTAGAAGTGATGGTTAGATTTTCTTGTTTTGGAGATGGTCAATGCCTGGCACTTGTGTGTTTCTTGCCATTTTTAAAGCTAATCTGGATATTGTCCAGATCTTGTTGCATTTGAACATGAACTGCTTCAGTCTCTGAGGAGAGACATATAGTGCTGAATATTGTGCAATTATCATTGAACATCCCCAGTTCTGAGCTTATAATGAAGCAGCTGAAGATGGTTGGGCCCAGGACACTACCCCGAGGAACTCCTGCAGAGGTGTCCTGGAGCTGAGATGTCTGACCTCCAACAACCACAACCATCTTCCTATGTGCCACGTATGTCCTCAACCATCAGAGAGTTTGGCCCCTGACACCCATTGATTCCAGTTTTGCCAGGGCTCCTTGATGCCACACTCAGTCAAATGCAGCCTTGATATCAAACACTGTCACTCTAACCTCTCCTCTAGAATTCAACTCTTTTGTTTGAACCAAGGCTGGAATGAAGTCAGGAGCTGAGTGGTCCTTGTGGAACCCAAATGGGGGTCACTGAGCGGGTTTTCAAGGAGCAATTCCAAGCAGATTTAACAGAAGGCTGTGCTAGAGATCAGGCAGCATGATTGGCATTGACCAAGGACAGTGCCCTGGCACTACAGCAAGCACCAGGGGAATCTGCTCACAGGGTCACATCAGAGAATGTCTCTATAGCTGCAAATCATGGATATGGAGTGGTGAAGGTGTGGGTTAACTCACAATCTTACAGTCACAATCAATCCTTAACAAAGCTAAACAACCAAACTATTAATGCAATGAGTTTAATACAGAAATGCACAAACAATAGAAAGATGAATTACATCAATTGGAAACAATGATAAAAAGGGGGAGGGGGATAAAGAGAGGGAAAGAGCCACATGTTTTGTGCCTTTAACCCTCTCATTAGACGTTGCATTGCCTGTGAGAATTCCTTTAACTTGCTAAACATGGGGACAATTCCATCGACGAGCAGCACCTGGAGATTCAGGCTGGGAAGAAGAAGTCAGCGTTGTTTAATGATGGAATCCATTGGTCAGGAATTATATGGAGGCTGGGGGAAGGCTGCACGAATGATGCACAGGTGGTGAATTCAATAAACCTGGTCTTATCTCAGACTTTACCCTGAAACCCTTCAAAAACTTACAATTCTCATCCACACATTCCAAATCCTGTCTAGACCAACGTCCCGCTTACAGAACCCCCCAAAACACTGTCTAGACCAACGTCCCTCTCACTGTCAAACAAATGCCCCTCTCACAGAGCCCCTCAAACCTTGTCTAGATTAATACCCCTCTCACAGAACCCCTCCAAAAACCCAGTGTAGACCACTGCTCCTCTGACAGACCCCTTCAAACCCTTTCTAGACTAACACCCCTCTCACAGACCCCCAAAACCCAGTCTAGACCACTGTCCCTCTAGCAGATCCCACCAAACCCATTCTAGACTAATTCCCCTCTCACAGACACCCCCTTTCCCAAAACCCTGTCTGCACTAAACATCTCTGTCAGTGACACCCCAAACTCCTCTATCCTGTTGACTGGCAGCACCTTCATTGTCTCTAAGTGCTGTGAGCCGTGTTGTTCAGAGACATTGAGTGGATATTCCTGCTCTCTCTGGGGTTGAGCTTGTGGTGAGGAAGCTGCTTCATTTGATGGCCTGGTGCTGCATCCAAAACCTACCTTTTTCCCACCTCTTACTGAACAGAAAGTTCTGGGCAGAAAGTCTCATCATCTCCTCAACGATTCATGTCTTTATCAATTAGTTAATGACGCTGAGTCCGACACCAATGGAAGTGACCCAGTCCCGATGGGGCAGCTAAAGCGTTCGTAGCCAGCTCATCACCTCAGAGCCTGGGAAGGGTATGGGAATGTGCCAGTCTCTGCTCTTGCTGTCAGTACCTCCCCTAATGACACATTGCCTCTCCCCACAAACCTAGCCTCCATTTTCACTGTCTCGGTCTTGGTTCCTAACTGACTGTGGGCCTAATTAGGGCAGGCCAGTGGCTCAGTGGTTAGCACTGCTGTCTCACAGCAGGAGTTCGATTCCACCCTCGGGCGACTGTCTGTTTGGAGTTTGCACATTCTCCCTGTGTCAGTGTGGGTTTCCTCCGGGTGCTCCGGTTTCTTCCCACAGTCCAAAAGTGTGCAGCTCGGTCGATTAGCCATGGAAAATGCAGGGTTACAGGGATAGGATAAGGTAAGGGGGGTGGGGTTTGGGTGGTTTGCTCTTCAGAGGGTCGGTGTGGACGTGATAGGCTGAATGGCCTGCTTTCCCCATTGTAGGGATTCTATGGATCAACTACAACACCCGGGCGATGCTGCAAAGAACAAGGTCTTGTTG